CTGGAGTGTAGTGGCTTGATCTCTGCTCACTGCAACTTCCACCTCCCAGGTGATTCTCCTGCCTCAGCCTCCCAAGTAGCTGGGATTACAGGAGCCTGCCACCACACCCAACTAATTTTTGTATTTTCAGCAGGGACAGGGTTTCACCATGTTGCCCAGGCTGGTCTCAAACTCCTGAGCTCAAGCGATCCACCTACCTTGGCCTCCCAAAGTGCTGGGATTACAGGCATGAGCCACTGTGCCTAGCTGGAGCCAGCTTTTGGAAGAATTTCAGAAAGAGTATGTCGGCAAAGGGGACAGCTTGTGCAAAGTCTCTGAGGTGATCAGATATTCCAGGAACTGGCAGAAACCTTGGCTACAGCATAGTCATCAGAGTAAAATGAGATGACACTGGAGAGGCAGGTGACAGCCTTATTATGCAGGGCCCAGTTCGCCATAATAATGAATTTGATAAAATAATTTGTAATTACTTTTATGAACCAGTCATGGCACATCATCATATGTCCCGGCAAGTTCCCTCCCTCGTTTATTTTTCCCTACTCATTCTTGCCCTTGTCTCCCCTCCCATAGTCCCCACTTACTCTTGGTTATATGTCCCCCATTTTTTTTTTATTTTATTTCTTTTAGAGATGAGATCTCGCTTTGTTGCCCAAACTGGTCTCAAACTCAGAGGCTTAAGTGATCCTCCACCTTGGCCTCCAAAAGTGCTGGGATTACAGGCATGAGCCACTGTGCACAGCTTATTTATTTATGAGACAGGGTCTTGCTTTGTTGCTGAAGCTGGAGCGTAGTGGCGCAATCTCGGCTCATTGCAACCTCTGCCTCCCAGGTTCAAGTGATTATCCTGCCTCAGCCTCCTGAGTAGCTGGGATTACAGGCGTGTACCACCACACCCAGCTAATTTTCATATTTTTAGTAGAGACGGGGATTTCACCATGTTGGCCAAGCTGGTCTCAAACACCTGACCTCAGGTGATCCACCCCCCTCAGCCATTTATTTATAATACAAATATTTATTGACCATTGACAGTATCTCAGAGTTTGTTCTAGTTGTTGGACATATAGCACTGATCAAGATTGACAAGGTTCCAATCTTCATGGAGTAGACATTCTAGTACATACTGTAAAAAAAAAAAAAAGTAAAATTGAGCCTAGCACAGTGGCTCACACCTGTAATCGCAACACTTTGGGAGGTGGAGGCAGGTGGATTACTTGAGGTCAGAAGTTCAAGACCAGCCTGGCCAAGATGGCAAAACCCCATCTCTACTACAAACACAAAAATTAGCTGGACCTGGTAGCGCACCCCTGTATTCCCCACTACTTGGGAGGCTGAAGCAGGAGAATTGCTTGAACCCAGGAGGCAGAGGTTGCAGTGAGCCAAAATCTCACCACTACATTCCAGCCTGGGCGACAGAGCAAGACTCTGTCTCAAAAAAATAAATAAAATAGAATCAGGATAAAGGAATAGAGAGCAGTGGGGAAGAGGAGTCAGGGTGAGGAGGAGGGTAAGGAAGTGGCATTTGACTGTTTGTATCCTTATAAAATATGGTATATTTTTGTCTATGTATGTTTTAAATTTATATGAATGATATTGTGCTGCATATGCCTTTTTTACTCAACAACACTGTTTTCAAGATCTAACCATGTCAGGCCAAGTGTGGTGGCTCACGCTTGTAATTCCAGCACTTTGGGATGCTGAGGCAGGCTGATTACTTGAGGTCAGGAGTTCGAGACCAGCCTGGCCAACATGGTGAAACTCCATGTCTACTAAAAATATAAAAATTAGCTGGGTGTCATGACACCCACCAGTAATCCCAGCTACTCAGGAGGCTGACGCAGGAGAATCACTTGAACCCAGGAGGCAGAGTTTGCAGTAAAGTGAGATTGTGCCATAGCACTCCAGCCTGGACAACAGAGTGAGTCTCCACCTCAAAAAAAAAAAGAAAAGAAAAAAGATCTAACCATGTCCTAAAAGTGCACATGGCTCATAGCTTCTTAATGCTGCATGTCAGTCCTTGATATGCCTCCACCGCTTACCCATTTCCTATCACGGACTCCTGGTTGCCTCCGGCTCCTCATCTATAAATTCTTCCAGGGTGAATGTCCTTATATATTTCCTCATGAGCTAGTGCTGGAATTTCTCTGAGACATGTAACTGGGAGAGGGATCACTAGATCCTAGAGTTTACACCTACCTGTGTTCCATCGGATTACTTTCCAGAAAAGCTGTTCTTGTCCCCTACATCCTCACCATCAGTGGGCTTTTATCATTCTAGTATTTGTTATTCTGCCAGGTATGAAAGGGGTGTGTCATTTTAATTTGTATGTCCCTGATTCCTTGAAGGTTTGGGGATTTCTTCATGTACTTAGTCGTTTTGGCTTCCTCTTCTGAGAACTGCCAGCTCATTTCCTCTAGCCTTTGATTTTCAGACTTTTTTTAAAAATGGGGGGTTTTACTTGTTAATTTACTAGAGTTCCTAGTATAGGAGGAAATATCTGTCTATTAGTTGCTAACTTTGTTGATGGTGTCCTTTGAGGAACAGAAGTCTTTTTGTGTGTGTCATTTTTTGAGACTGAGTCTCACTCTGTCAGCCAGGCTGGAGTGTTGTGGCGCGATCTCAGCTCACTGCAACCTCCGCACCGGGTTCAAGCAATTTCCCTGCCTCAGCCTCCCAAGTAGCTGGGACTGCAGGCGCCCGCCACCACACCGGCTAATTTTTTTGTATTTTTAGTAGAGATGGGGTTTCACTGTGTTAGCCAGGATGGTCTCGATATCCTGACCTTGTGATCTGCCCACCTTGGCCTCCCAAAGTGCTGGGATTACAGGCGTGAGCCACTGCTCCCAGCCAGAAGTCTTTAATTAAATAAAAAGCAGCACACATTTTAATTGTTTCCGCTTTCCCCCAAAAGGATGACGCAGAAGGGAAATGCAGTTATCCCTGCAGACCCTTCATGAGCTGTATGGATCCTCGTGACTCTCCTTTTCTCAGCCTCTTGACTAACTCAAAGAGCCATTTAAAAAATGCCAGGTACTACTGCCTAATCCGTTTATTTTTTTTAATCCTAATTTTCTTTCTTTTTTTCTTTTTTTTTTTTTTTGAGACGGAGTTTCACTCTTGTTGCCCAGGCTGGAGTGCAATGGCGCGATCTCGGCTCAGCCTCCTGGGTAGCTGGGATTACAGGCACATGC